TTTTTTCCTTTTTCTTTTCTTTTTTTCCCACAACAAAGTGGTCCTTTATTTATACTTTTTCAAAGTTAGTAACACCTGACACAAGGTTGCCTAGCGACTAACAGCTGACCTTAACTAGACATATGTTTATATCAGCACTGAGGACTCAGAACATAACAGAACCTCTGCTGTGACATCCTATAGCTAAGTTGTGTCCCAAATTTTCTGATCAAGGAGATTATGGGGCCACAGAGGAAAGTGATCAATGATGTAGAGTGTGCCTAAGGAGAGTCACCTAGAGAGAAACATTCCCTCAGGCTTTCACAGAGAGCAAATTGGTCAAGCAATGGCTGTGACTCATCCAGATGGCTGACACTGACAAAAGATCTGCAAGGTGCTTTACATGGTTCCAGGGTAAATCCTGAGGGTATTTGACTGACCTTGTCAGATAGTAAATGTTACATTTTTAGTTATATAGATCTTGCTTTAACTTGGTCTTAACCATTTAGCAGAAAAGTGTAACCATGAGGCATAAAAATTAAAGCTACATTAATATGCTGAGCTGCAAAAGGCTCAAGTAAACAACTTCTGGTAATTGATAGTTGTGCTGATAACTCACTACTATCCTGGTCTATTGGAGTATATTGGGTTGTTTTGATGAATTTAAGTACCTACAATCTTTGGACTGGCATCAAGTATGAAAAGTTCCTTTTAAGACTTCTCCAAATACAGCATCTCTAACTACAATAGAACATCTATCTCTGACAAAACAGAACAAAAAAAGGGGATATGTTGAGAGTCACAGAAGCTAGGAAATTAATCAAGTATGTGTAGGTGGGACAAGGCCTCAGGGCCTTAAGCAAATATGCTACCTCAGTCCTGAGATTCTTCTATTTTTAATCTTTTAAGAAAACTCTATAGTATTTTTTCTAATGGTCACACTAGTTGACATTCCAACCAACAACTACATGGATGCTCTTTTTCTCAATCCTCATTAATACTTGTTATCTCCTGTCTTTTTGATAATAGCCATTCTGTGTGTCACTTTATGACTCTGTATGGTTTCTAGAGGCAGTTCCCTGATAAATATATAGTATGAACATCTTTTCATATATCTATTGGCCATTTACATGATTTATATGTATATTCAAATTCTTTTTAGTTTTCAATTGAGTTATTTGATTTGTTTTGCTATGGAGTTGTAGGAATTTTTGAAATATTTTTGATATCAACCTCTTATCAAATGCATGCACTGCAGGGGCTGGGGAGATAGCTCAGTGGTGTAAGTACCTGCCTGGCAAGTGCAAGGTCCTGAGTTTCTTTCCCAGTACAACAAAAGGGCTGAGTGAGCACAAGGCAAGCCTGTGCTGCATAGTGAGACCCTGTCTCAAAAAGATAAAAGCAAAGCAAAACAAAACAAAAGAGACAAATATATGTTGCAAATATTTTTCTCCTATCCTGTAGTTATCTTTTCACATAGTTCACTTCTTGCTAGCAAGAATCATTTTATTTGAAGGTGGCAAGTCGTCCAGTTTTCTTTTTATTTCTTCGATCTTCATGTGTTATATAAACTATACTAGCCAAACATAACTACATTAGTGTCCGACCCAGCATCAAGAAGGTGTTCCCATTGTTTACTTCTCATAGACTTATTGGTTCAGATATTTTCTTTACTCTGATCAGAAATTTTATACCATATTTAGAATAAAGAAATATAACATTCATCACTCAGTACCCTTCTGAGAACCTGACATTGTACTAGTGTTGCTTTAGATTTTTTTATTTCATCTAACTGAGAGGAAAATTTTGTGAAGATTGTAGTATGAAGAAATTGTCTTCATGAGAGATATTATTGCTTTCATGTTATTTGCCTTTATGTCTGTGTTCTTTTCATAGTGAGTACCTGAGCTGGAATCACAGATGCAAGAATTTTATGACAAATGTTTCAATGAAATTCCAAAGAGCAGAGTCCTGAGTTTCTTTCTCCCCTGTATTTCTAGGGTGACCCTAAGAATGACTCCTGGATCTTCGCCCTGGCCGTGCTTCTGAGCACCACCTTTGTCTACAACAGCGTGGGCACCATCAACCACCAGGCCATGGAGCAACTACAGTATCCTTCTGGTACCTGAGCCACTGAATGTCAGTGGCTTCTGAGGAGATGAATATTGAGTCAGTTTTCTTACCCTGTCATTTTCTTGCTCCTGTGGAGCAAGAAGAACTTGCTATGATAATTTTTATTAGGGAAATGTGGGGATTTTAAGTAGGAATTTCCTTTTCCTTAGCCAAGTCCTAGTTATGTGACAGAGCTCACAGAACTAATCAAGGCAAAGTCTTCCTCAAATTTGGATGGAGTACAAGACTCTACAGAGTTTGTGAGCTTTTTTCCAGACTTCATCTGGGCTGTACGAGATTTTACTCTCCAACTAAAGTTGAATGATAATGACATCTCAGAAGATGAGTACCTGGAGAATGCCTTGAGGCTGATTCCAGGTACCTGAGTACAGATGGTATGGGAGTTTTTGTAGGGTGAATGTGCTGACACTGCATCAGTTCTAGGGATCCCTTTGTACTGGCTGGAGGTCTGGAGAAATGGGGATTGGGTCATAGATTGAAAGCTCTAAGAAAGAATACAACATACAGTGAAATTATTAAAATTCATGTTGGTCTTTACACATTTGTTCTTTAGAATTCAAATTACAAAAAAAAAAAAAAAAAAAAGGAACTCAGATTACAATGGTTGTATAAGCTGTCTGAAGCATAGGCATTTTGTATCCTATCTTAGCATCTGCTTTTCTCTCTTTAGGAGACCAACAGATCACAGAATTTTTAAACATGATATCACAATACAAAGCTCATCTTACTGTGTGTCTATATTTCACATTGCTATTATTCTTCTCAGGGAGGATTATTTCTTTCTAATTGTGGTATTTCACATTCTAAATTTGAACATACAAAATAACTATGTCCTAAGTAAGCTGAAGAATTATTCTTTTCATTTTTTGCTCTGTCAATAGTTACACAATTGCCATGGTATTCATTTTACTTTATATAGATAATATACATTTCTCTTAATTCTGGCATATTTATTCACACTATTATTTCTTTTTTTAAATTAATTTTATTGAGAAACAAATAGCAATGAGACAGTTTCAAAATAGGTTATTAGGACAGTTTCAATAAATAATACATTGCATATTGTTGTCTTCATAGTGGTTATTCATAGTACAAGATGCAGACATGATATTACAGGATGTTACAGTAAAGGCTCTCTACTATTCTATTGCCAATTAAATATTGTAGGTGCGTGAACTCAGCAAAATAATCCAATATGGTTCAGTAGTCCATAATAGTAGTGGGTTATCCGTAGGACTGACAATGTCACAAGTTGTTGACTTGAGGATTTTACAGCTCAGCATATTAATATGGCTTTGCTTTTTATACTTCATTTTTATACTTTTCTACTGGATGGTTAAGATCAAGATCAAGCAAGACCTATATAACAAGAAATGTAACTTTTATATCTGATAAGGTCAGTCAAATCCCCTCAGGATTTATCCTGAAACCCTGTACAACAGTTTGTAGATCCTTTGTCAGTGTCAGTGATGTGGATGAGTCACGACAATTGCTTGGCCAATTTGCTCTCTGTGAAAGCCTGAGAGAATGTTTTCTTTCCATGTGACTCTCCTTAGGCACACTCTACATCATTGATCACTTTCTTCTCTTTTTCTTAATTGTTGATCTGAAAACTTAAATTGCTACCCCTCCAGAAGAGAGAATTAATGATTTTATCACCCTATAATATGAGCAGTTGAGCTTAACCTCACTATTGGTCTGAATATCAAGCATCTTAGATATAACATGGAACAGGTATCAAGTATTGATATGCTAAACTTTAAATCACTACAGGATGTCACACTATTGTTTCAAAAGAAATTATATGAAAAAAAAGAAATTATATGAATGAAGATACATATTATTTGTAAGTTATTGACATGTTTTCCCATGGAGATCTTGTGAAAATGGCAGTTTGCATTTATTTATTAATGCTTTTAATTTTGTCAAATATCCTTTAAATTCATTGAATAATTGCTAAGAAAAAATCAAATCAAGTGTTCACCAGATAGCTTAGCAGATTAAAGTGCCTGCATAGGCAGTTGCAGGGACTGGGGGTTTGACCTGGGCCTGCAGTACGGGCCTGCCCCTGGGGCATGCTGAGAGGACAAATGAGACTGGGTGTGGTGGTGTGCACCTTTAATCCCAGGGCTTGGGAGGCTGAAAAATAGGAAGGATCACTACAAATCCAATCTGTGTATTGAGACACTGTATATCCTGTACTAAATACATAAAAAGAAATAATCAAAGCAAATATATAGTTGTTTTTCTCAAAGACTTTATAGAATAGTGATTATTATTCTAAAAGTATATTTTCATTGATCTTTGAAGGCTTTGATAAAAATATCCAATACTATGTAAAGTATTTTTTAAACCCCTTTTTGATGCTTACAACATGATATAGGATACATATAGATAGTACAGTGGTTGCTATCATGTAGCAAATCATACATGCATCATCTCACATAGTTATTTTTGTGATCAAACAACTAAATGACTTATTTTAATCCTTAATATAGTAGTCTCATTAATTCTAGCCTAAGTTTTCTATTAGATTTCTGGACTTACACATGCTACACATCTGCTACCTTGTGTCCTCAGACCTATATCTTTCTCATTTCTTGCATTCCCCTGAAACCACTATTGTATCCTTTATTACTATACATTGGGACTTTTGCATGGAATGTTTTTGGCATCAAAGTGATTATCTTTAACTAATTATAGTGGCATTCTTAATATGGTTACAAGTATTTCATTATTGCCTTTTAGCTTGTCTTATTTTTGTCCCTCAGCTAAATTTCTTTTTTTTAAATTTTTTTTTATTTTGGCGAAACCGGGGATTGAACTCAGGCCCTTGTGCTTGCCAGGGAAGCACTTATTCCACTGAGCCATCTCCCTGGCCCCCCTCAGCTTAATTTCAACAAGGGATTAAGTTGACTAGAAATATATATTTGAACTTTTCTTCAATCTGTAAACATCAAATAAACAACAGCCCCATACTTGCCACCATGTTCAGATCTGGAGATACTAGCCAAATTTTATATTTTCACTGGAGTAAGATATTACTCAAATATCATAACAGTTATTATTATTATCATTAATGTATTTAGTACAGGGTCTATAAGGTCTCACTACATAGATTGGATTCATGGTGATCCTCTTGTTTTCAACTTCCCAAGCACTGGGATTACAGGCATATGCCACCATGCCCAGTGTTAGTCGCCATCTCAGGGTGCCTTAGGGGCAGGGCTGACACTGCTTGTGGTGCTGGGGATCAAACCCCAGTCCCTGAGCTCTGCCTAAGGAGATGCTTTAGTCTGCTGGCCTGCCCTGACAATTACATTATTGGTACAAGTTTGATGTCAGGTAATTATTAAATGTTCATGATAAAGGTACTGTATTGGTGTAGATCCCTGTAAAATATGACAACTCCAGGGGGGGAAAAAAACCAAAAAACTTTAATCTCCAATCTCAAGACAATGCCCTCTGTGTTTATCATTTCTTAGGTGAGAAAACAAGTGCACAAAAATCTAATCAAACTAGGGAGTGCATTCGGAAGTTCTTTCCAAGTCGGAAGTGCTTTGTCTTTGATCGACCAACAAATGACAAAAGTCTCCTGGCCAACATTGAGAATGCCCCAGAAGACCAACTGGATCCTAAATTCCTGGAGCAAACAAAGAGTTTCTGTGCTCACATCTTCAATCATGAAAAGAACAAGACTCTCAGAGAGGGAATTATGGTCACTGGGAATCGTGAGTCTTTACATATTTCTGTGCAGAAGAGTGCATATTGAATATGTTATATAGCGTGTTTGCTTTATTCTTGTTCAATTTTATATATAACTATGATATCTATATATTCATTCCCTAACTATGTACATATTTATTATTTTCTTACTGGGGTTTATAAATTTCTCTTTAAATCTTTACATCTTGTTGCAGGTTATGTGTGGGTTGTATATCTCCGATAAAAATTCCACATTAATAATTAAAATCACTAACTTTATCTGAAAATAGATATATACAATTTTCTCAGAAAAGTCCTACATATGAGTTCTTTGCAAGAAGTGTAGAAATCATGTTTTAAAAGTTTGAAGTGTTCCAAATATAAATATTATAGTCTAAGTACCTGAAAATCCAGTGGAACTCTTATAATTAGAAGCATGAGGCATCTTGGCTTATTAGTATGTGTGTGTGTGTGTGTGTGTGTGTGTGTGCATATAAATTTGAGTGGGGAATTATATTTTTTAGGTATACTTTACAATAGTAGATGAAGTTATTTACTGATACTAAGGTTTTTCTTTAACTGTGATCTGGAGAATGACATAAATAAAGGTATTAGGGGACGAGGAGATGGCTCAGTGGAATAAGTGCTTCCCTGGCAAGTGCAAGGGCCTGAGTTCAATCTCTGGTTCAGAAAAGAGAAAAAAAAAGGGTCTTAGAGGGATGTAGGTAATGATAAAATGAAGTAGGTAATGTAACTCTGTGTGTGTGTGTGTGTGTGTGTGTGTGTGTGTGTTTGCATGTGTCTATCAGAGAGAGAAAGTGAGTGAGCAAGAGATTACAATCATAGTTCAGAGTCTTAGAATGCTTTGAATTAAAGCTTTCCTATTTATCCTCTAAAATTTGTGGCTCATTCAGGGCTGGGGTTTCTGGTGGAGAACTATGTGAAGGCCATCAACAGTAAGGAGGTGCCCTGCTTGGAGAACGCGGTGACCACTCTGGCCCAGCGTGAGAATGCAGCAGCCGTGCAGAAAGCAGCCACCCACTACAGCGAGCAGATGGCCCAGCGAGTGCGGCTCCCCACAGACACGCTCCAGGAGCTGCTGGATGTGCACGTGGCCTGCGAGAAGGAGGCCATCACACTCTTCATGGAGCACTCCTTCAAGGATGAAGATGGGAAATTCCTGAAGGAGCTGGTGGTACTGATTCTTATTTTTCTTCTTTCTTTATTATCATGTTTGCTGTATACAATTATTACATTCCACATAGTTTTTGGTTCTGTGTCTTATTCAATACTTTCCTTAATCTTTCCGTTAAAGAGTGAAGCTCAAGGGTGGCTGCATTCAACTAATGGTTTATCTCATTTGAGGACAAAGCATTTTTGATTTTTACTGGTTGGAGTCTAAACTTACATGTTCTTTCTCTACTCCGAATCTCAGGTTTATTAAGCAGCAGTTTCTCTGAGTGACTGAATCATAATCAGTGTAGATGTTCCCATAGCACTTAAGGTGGGCTTTGAGAAGTACTTCTTTGGACTGCAGACCTGTCCAGAGCATTCTCAAGTCATCCCTGATGTGTTTACGTTTTCAGTGCACATTGCCCATTGCTGGAAACTAAGTTTCTCTTACTAGACCCTAATTCTACACTGTTGCTCATTCCATATTTGTTGTATATTAATCTTTCAAGATATAACCATGGATATGATTCCATAGGTATTGTAGTCACCATACTCATAAGTGAAATAAGTCAGATCCACATGTGTAAGCACTGTATTATCACCCTAGTGGAAGAAACTGAAGGAGTAAACAATGTCTCAAAAACATAATAGATATTGTAAAAGGGAAAGAAACTGCTCAAAGGGAAAGAACAGCTGAGATGGGAGAAAGGAGAAAAGAAAGATGGAAGGAATGAATATATCTATATCTATTTATTTACGTATATAATAGCTAAGATAATTGTACTACAATTTCTACTTGTTTTTTAAAGGAATAGTTAATGCTTATTTTTTTAAAAATCAGTTTTGCATGCCTGTGTCTGGTAATCTGAACAACTACTTTGAAGATAACAATAAGCAATATAAGAACCATTGTTGATTTCTTATCATCTTGTTTTGAAATTCTGCTTTTTAAAGTTTTTATTATCTTTAAAATAAAGATGTGTCATTTGCATGTCCCAGGTACCCATGGTGAATGTAATCAGTATGTGTCATAAAAATGAACTGAAAACAATAACATAATGAAAATGGGGAAATAGGATTTATAGACAGAGATTAAGAAGTGAGTAGGGAGGGGAAGGAGAGTAAAAAAGATCTAGGTTGTGTTATGTACATGTAATTGTTATCTAGATGAATGTATGCTTCATGTATTGCAAACATGTGCTCATAAAATAGAATTAACGAAGAAACCACAGAGGTTGTAGCATAGTCCCTTCATCTCACAGATAAGCCGCTTCAGGTCCATGAAGGTACATATGTTTCTCATAGACTTTCAGAGAGTATTAAGGGTTTTGAATAAGTCAAGTATGAATCCTCACCATGCCACATCTTATTTAAAGAGAACACTTTCTTATGAGAAACAAGTTGATGTTCCTACAAAGTTCACTGGGTTGTTTCCTCTCTAGGATATCTTTCTGGTGACATCTCTGTACATCTGTCTTGCAGAAAACAATAAAGGATAAGAAGGAGGATTTCTTGCTGAAGAATGAAAATGAATCTGATAAATACTGCCAGAAAGAACTGAATTCACTTTCAAAAGCATTAACGGAAAGCATTTTAGCAGGGGCTTTCCATGTTCCTGGAGGTTACCAGCTATACATGGAAATGAGAAAAAAGATGGAAGAGGACTACAGGCAACTGCCCAGGAAAGGAGTGAAGGTGAGGAACAGGGGAGCCAAGGCAATTCTAGAGAAGAACATTAAGGGGTTTCCAGAACCAGCTGTGAGCAACAAGAAAAACAGATTACATGAAGTCTTTGCATTCTTTTCTGCACAGTTGGAGATCAAAACTAGTGCTTCCTGCAAGTTTTGCACCAGTGGGCTATACCCTGGAAGTCACTTTAGTCCTTAATGTTGTCTACCTGCTATATATTCCTGAAAGTAGAAATTTTCTTTCTCCAAAAAACAGTAGAGTATGAAAAATTGGGGGAGAGGAATCTTATCTATTTCTTCTCCAGCAAGATGACCTGAGATGTGCTAAGTGCTGGTGCTTTCCAAGGTAGTCTTTGCTCTCCAGGCTGGTGATTTGCATATTAAGTAGTATTACTTATAAATCTATGGCAAAGTGCTGTACAGGTAATGTTAATGAACATAATGATCAGTTGCTGCTTATGTACTTTATGATATATTCTTTCCTAGACATTTTAATCTAGTGTAAAGTGGTATCACTTTTTATTGTGAACATTTTTATTTTTTACTTTTTTGAACATTTTTAGTTTTGAACTTAGAAGTCCTGTTGCATATAAAAAATTTATCCACAAGATAAAGCTAGTAAAATGAAGAGTGAAGTGCAGTTTATATCACTGGAAAACAAATAAAAGCACAAGAGGTTGTACTTCACTTTTCTCAATTCTGACTGGCTGGAACTGAGAGCAGGTGGCAGGCAGAAGCCCCGGTAAATGGAGGGAGATGGAAAGTGAGAGGCATGGAGGAGCTCTGGTAACAGTGAGGAGTTGATCCCTGCATAGAAAGCTAACAGAAGTTTAACCATGAAGCAATATAATATACATACATTTATTTTGCAGAACTGTTCTCCCAGTGCTATTTGTTTGCTCTCTCTTGGTTTCATAGGCAGAAGAGGTGCTCCACAGGTTTCTGAAGTCACAGGTGGCGGTACAGGGATTCATCTTGCAGTCAGATAAAGCTCTCACTGATAAGGAGAGGAACATGGCAGGTAAATGTGCAAGATGGATTTACCCCAAGTGTGTGTGGATTCCTGCAATGATTCTGACAGATCTAATAAGAAACCTTTCCCAAATGCATAGCATATTTCCTTCTGTAGTGTGTGTATGCTGATGAATGTGAAAAATAGAAAGGAGCTTAGTTTTAAATCACCTAGTCAGTGCATTTTCCATTGTGTTCTGAAACATGTCTGGACAGCATAGACTCATGTGAATTCTGTGACTTTCCTGAGCTGCTTTTCAGATTTGGTTTGGTCTCCGAGCTCAGGAAGATAGAATTTGGTTTCACCTGTTTTTCTTCAATTTTGAAATTTCCCTCACACAGTGGAGAAGACCAAGAGGGAGGAAGTTGAGAAGGTTCAGGAAATTTCAGCAGCAAAAGAACTGGAGGAACAGCAAAAGCAAGCAGCTCTGGAAAAGACTTACAAGGAAAACATGGAGCAACTGCAAATGAAACTAATATTGGAGAGAGAGAACTTCCTCAGAGAGCAGAAAATGATGTTAGAGCAACAAATGAGGGTGAGCATGCCTTGCTCAGCAGTGTTTGATGTCCCTGGAAATGTTGCAGGATGGTGAAGGAGGGATTATAACCATTTGGTGTCTGTAATTCGATAAAACTCTGAATCTTTGGCTGTTTTAAAGATGATACCTTTGAATTTTGCTCTATATGTAGAATCTAGAGAATTCTTGGCATCTTTTGGTTAATTCCTTTGAAAATAGGAATAGCATTTATGTTACTGTTTTGATATTTCATAAAATGATCTTGTGAGAGCCTGATTAACTACATTTTCCAACCACTAGTAGTAGTAGGGTTGCACTAACAACAGCAATACTGTCACGAGCTCTACTACCATCCAAAGACCCTGAGGTAGATCTCTGTTGCCATAAAATTGTCAGAAATGTTCAGACTTAAAAGCAGAATGTACTGACAAATTCTGTCTATAAACTTATTGGTTGCTTTTGGATATCCTATTCACTTTCTCATCTCAGACAAGACACTCACTAACCACAACTCATTTGAGGAGAGTGTTATTTTGGCTATGGTTTCAGTCATAGTTGGCCACTCCAGGGCAGATATATAGCATGGCACAGAGGCCTGGTGAAGGAAAATGTGCTCAGCCTATGGCAGTCAGGAAGGGGAAGCAGTGTGACCCACCTCTGACCAGGCCCTGCCTCCTTCATGGCATACTCAGCTATGAACACAAAGGATGTATCCCCTAATGAATACAGCACCCCAATGAGATGATCTCCTTCCACACACATGAGTATTTGGGGATATTGTATGTATACTACAATACCCATGTGGACAGCTTGCAGGTGTTAGCTTATGACCCTAGAGGGATTCTTCCCTTGTCTATCTGGAAGTTATATATCAAACTTCTAGTTGACAAGTTTCCACCATCACTATATCATTACCTTGCTACTTACAGGGGATTGCAAATCAGATCACAATTTTATTTTTTTTGGCAAGACACAATTTGTTCTCAAACTTCAGCACAGTAGGACTGAATATTGCATGAGTATTAATAAAAGTAAACTCTATTTCCTCTTCTTTATGCAATTCAGATAACATTGTTGCTAAGCTATTTGCAAAAACATTTGTACATATAATGTAAAGCCAGTTTGATAAAGTTTTTAACAAAATGTCACTCTTAAAATAACAGTATTATAGGACCAGGTAGATAGCTTAGCAGCATAAGCACCTTTCCGGCTAAGAGCAAGGTCCTGAGTTTGATTCCTTGTACCACAAATACAAAACAAAAAAACCCCCAGTATTATAAAAATGCACTTCACACTCAACTTTTATTCATTTATTTTAGATTCAAACAGATTTGTTCAAAGAAGGACTTAAGAAGAAATCTGAGGCAATGAATGAAGAATTAAAACATTTGAAGAATAGGGTTGAAGCTACAGAAAGGGATACGGAGCCCTTCATAACACGAGCTTTGAATCATGTGGGTACTGGGATAAGTACAATATTGTGTGCACCTGGTAAAGTTCTTGGAAATGTTGTTAAATTTATTGGCAGACTTTTTAAGTGACCTTTGTTCCTCTTTTAACAAAAATTATAGATTGTGGATCTATTTTTTGACCTGTTCTATGGCATGTTTTCTTCATTTTCATTCAGCACGATTTGAAATATAAAAGTTTTTTGTTGCAATGCATCTGTCTGGACCACGTTACAACAAATTCCTGTATCTGTTGATAGATATTATTTGCTTGTGCGCAATGCACACTTGCAAAAAAAATATATACAGGAAGAAGCCCTTTGAGATAATGCTTTCAACAGCAAAAGTTGGAAATTACTTCAATGTCATATGCATAAATTCATAAAAAATTTTAATATATGCTGATACTGGAATATAGGAAATGAAAAGTGAGTGGACTTCTAGTTCTCTAAGCATAAGATGATTTTGAGGATATTGCAAATTTAAAATAAAAAACACTAAAAATATTTCAAAGCATATATGTATATATATAATTTCCATCAATATTATACATGGCAGTATTACTTGTAAAAACACACATTTACTAGTAAACTATCTTTTAAAAGTTTAATGAGATACTGGCATTCTTGGGTCTTTCTGGGGAGAAATTATAGGAATCAGCAGTGGAAAGAACACATAACTTTCATTACATATTCTGTTTTTTGAATTTTTTAATAAATCTGGTATGAAAAAGTTTGGAAATTCAGTGGAAAATTTGAACTATAATACTAGCAATGAATACTGAGAGTGGAATTGACTATGATATATGTGAAAATAAATGATGACATTTTTCATTCTTCCTAGAAATGACACCTTCCAGGTCAATGAGAGATCTAAGACTAAGATCTGAGTGCAAAAAACCTGTAAAATTTCCATCCTACTCCTAGTTTTTTGATGACTCTTGATACTTGTTTCCCCAATGATTACACCAATCTATACTCCCACCAACAGTGGGAGAAGGATTCTTTATTCCTCATAGTAACTCCAACATTTATTGCTGATTGATTTCTTTATAATAGCCATTGTTTCTGGAGTGTGATAGATTCTTAGTGGTATTTTAATTTGCATCCTTTGAACGATGTTGAATATTTTTTCATATATTTATTTGCTGTTTGTGTTTCATTATCTGAGAAATGTCTATCTCAGATACCCATTTTTGGATATTGTGACATGGCAAGAAATTGTTCAAAAGGAAGTTAGAATTAGGGTGGGGAAAAGGGGAAGGAAGGAGGACAAAAGGACTAAAAATACAAAATAGTTGTACTACTAGTTTCTCTTATGTCATTGAAAATAAAAATTTGTGCTGATATCATTTAGATAAATTTTATGCTTATATCTTGTACTCTGAGGAACTACTTTGAAGATGCCAACATATGTTAACTAATATATTGCTATTATTTTTTCTGAAATTCTGTTTTTTTTCATAAAATAAAAAATTGCATCCTACTACTCTTTTCCTTTTGGCCTTGTTTCTTATTTCCTATATTGTCTCAAAATTGAAGTATAAATCTTGGGAATGGCTGATGCTGGAAACTAATTATGCATGCAGGACAAGGCCAGCTTGAGAACATGGTGAGCTCCTAAAAGCATGTAAATAAGCTATTTCAGCTGGTTAATTGATTGATAGGTAGGGAGGCTGAAATTAATATCAACATCTTGAGAGTATAAATAAGTGCTCTACCAGTCTTGGGCAATTCTCATCTGCTTAGGAGAGAGAGGACCTCCACCTGACTCCAACTCTTGTCTTTTGTCTATCTTTTACTCACTCCCCAGTGTTGATCCTCCACAGGGTATACCAAGAGCCCAAAGAGTCCCTACATTTGGTTTTTGCACAGGGACTGCCAATAGGGAAAAAGTAAGCAGTGGGAATGTTTCCCAAATGCATGCAGCAGGGGAGGGGGCAAGCAAATTGGTGGGAGCCAGTATTGAGCACTGGACTGCATTGGTATGAGCACATTGGGTGTAAAACATGGGGTTATGTATCCTCAAAGGCCAGAAGTATATGGGTTTCAAAGAAGCCTAGAAGAGAAAGTTACTTAGAAATCAGTCTCACAAAGGATGTGAAAGATTCATTCATACAATGAAAATTATAGTATTCTGAGAAAAGAGATTGAAGAGGATTTGAGAAGGTGGAGAAGTTGTCCATGGTCTTAGATAGGAAGAGCCAACATAGTGAAAATGGACATATTCCCAAAATTGTTATACAGATTCAATGAAATCCTTTTTTTTCTTTTTATTTATTTTTTAATTAATGTTATTTTATCTTATTTATTTATTTTGCTTGTATTTTAGGGAAGAGTCTACAGGGTTTTCAGGGCCTCACCAGTAGATTGGACTTAGAATGATCTGCCTGTTTACAGCCTCTCAAGAGCTGGGATAACAGGTGTGCACCACTACACCCAGTCTCAATTGCCCTTTCAGTCTCAATTGCCCTGGGGGTGGGGCTGGCACAGTAGGCCTGGGGATCAAGCCCCTGTACCTGCTTACAGGCACTTTAATCTACTGAGCTATTTGGCCAGCCCTTTAATTAATTTTAATGGGAAAGAAATAGCAATGAGACAGTTTCAAAGTGGGTTAGTAGGACAGCTACAATAGTTAATACATTGCGTATCTGGAGCAAAAGTGACTACCATGTCGGGTGATCTCAAACCCAACATGGTGGTCACCTTTGCTCCAGTCTACATCACAACTGAAGTCAAGTCTGTTGAAACTTTGAGTGAAGCTCTTCCTGGGGACATTGTGGGTTTCCATGTCAAGAATGTGTCTGTCAAAGGTATTTGGCATGGCAGTCTTGCTGGTGACAGTAAAAATGGCTCATCAAGGTAAGCATCTGGTTTCACTGCTCAGGTGATTATCCTGAACCATCTGGGCCAGATCAGTGCTGGCTGTGCTTCTGTAGTGGATTGTCACACAGCTCACATTGCTTGCAAGTTTGCTGAGCTGAAAGAAAAGATTGATCGCCGGTCTGGTAAGAAGCTGGAAGACAGGCCCAAGTGTTTGAAATCTGGTGATGCTGCCATTGTTGACATGATTCCAGGCAAGCCCATGTGTGTCAAGAGCTTCTCTGACTACCCACCTCTGGGTCTTTTCACTGTTTGCGATATGAGACGGCAGTTGCTGTGGGTGTCATCAAACCTGTGGAGAAGAAGCTTGCTTGAGCTTGCAATGTCACCAAGTCTGCGCAGAAAGCTCAGAAGGCTAAATGATTATTATCCCTAACATCTCTCATCCCAGTCTTTTTTTTTTTACTTTTTTATTGGATTTTATTTCTTTTTTTGACATCAGTTATTTTATTTTAAAGAAAAAAATAAAAAATATGGTACAAAATCTCAAAACAAGATTTTAGGAGAGGAACAATGGTTAGTACATTGTGTATTGTTACTGCCAAAGTAGTTTCTCATATTACAAGATATAGGGAAGAAATAATAAATAAACAACATAGGTACAAACGTTTGTTTTTTTAAAAGTCAACAGAAAATGGAAATATACTTTTTAAAGTTTCTAATACTAGGAGAAGATATCATACAATGTCTTTCACATAAATTGTAAGTCAAAGATACAGTATAAATCTTAGAACAAAAATTAAGATTAAGCAATATTCAGAAAATTAAATGTTTCAAAACAATTGAACTAAGAAAAAGTTTTCATGATTGCAAAGAAGTACTAAGAGTAAAACATAAGATAAATACTGGAATGGCAAGTAAATGACCAGCACTTCTAACAGTTTGAGGATAGG